GCCTCCTCCCCATCCCTGGGGCACCCCCAGGTCCGTGCAGCTGGAGCACAGCTGGATCCATCCAGCGCCGTGGGACCCAGAGAGGGCAGGCTGGGGCGTTGCATGAGCCCCAGGGCCTGCACTCAGCTCCTGTTTCCCTTCACAGCTTTTTGGGTACCTCACACACACACACACACGCAGAGGCACCACATCAACCCCAGGGCAAGGAGCTCCCCAGAAGAAACGCCCCAGCTTGCTGCCCAGCATCGCTGCAGCTACAGAGAGGCCGTGGAGTCAGGCACAGCAACACCCAATCTGCTCCCAGCTGCAAATATTGTCAAAGCATGGACAGCATTTACTCAAAGCCGAGCTCAATTCAAGACTCAAACGCTTCAACTGCTGTGTGTGTGTCCAATGAATTTCATGTGAAATCTAGATTTTCCAGGCACAAATTCAGCCTGCGTTTAACTACAGGGAATGACAGGGCAAGGCGAAGTAACCTGCACGGCCCACTGAAAATTAACCACAAGGGGAAAACTTCTAGTCCGCCGCAAAGCAGGCAACTTCTCTGTCAAGTTGACGTCTTGGCAGGGAGATCACCTCTCAGGAACCAGCTCAGCGCAGGGGCTGGAGGCCTGTGACCTCACAACTCAACGTTTTTCACAAGCTCATGCTCTCTCCGTTGAGCTTACGTTGAGCTCGGTATTCCTGAGGCTGAACGCAGCACTCGCAGGATGCACGGAGGGTTTCAGCTGTCTTTATCAAGGAATATAGCGGTAGTTAGTTGTCAAACCTGTCATTAAACTCAAGAAGTCATAATCAAACACACCCATAGAAAAAAGACAGAGCTCTGTAACTCCCAGACTGATGCATGCAAAGAAAAAACGAGTGCTAGGAACTTGGCTATAAAAACGTGTTTTTAACCTTGTCACCGGCGCCATTCAATGGGAAAGACAGACATCCTCATTCGTGCACCAGGAGCAGCTCAGGTATTTGTCTGCTGTGTCACACCCTGGTTTGTCAGCTTGTTTTTGAGTTTGCTACAAGTCCTCTACTTGAGTTTAACAACCAAAGGGATGTTAAATATAAAAAAAAAAAAAAATATCAAAAAAACAAAAGAAGTGTACACTGTGTAACTCCTAGAGAGCCTTCTCTGCCATCATCTCCCAAGCCTCATGGAGAGCTTAAGGTGAAGAACTGCCTGCAAGAGCTGAATCATATCTTTAGGCAAAAACATTGCTATTAGGTGACTAAGACCAAAACGATCGTCTCTATTTATTGCAACCGATGCTGTTATTAAAAAACCAGACAGGTCCCTCCCCAGCCCCTCACGCTACCCTGTGTGTGTGTGTGCGTGCTGGCGGAACACTGCAGAGGGCAGGTTGTAAACAGAGGGGACCCTCTGGGCAGGGTCTAAAACGTTTTGGACACCTGGGAGTGCTTTGGGCTCCCAGGAGCATCCCGGCGGGGCTGCCAGAGGTTTTTTGACAGGGATCATCCCTGACCTTTAAGATAAGACAAGCAGCTAGGCGAGGGCATAGGGAATCCTCGTGGAAAGAGGCGGCTGGGTGAGAAAAACCATCTGCCTACAGGCGGGCTGGGCGGTCAGGGTCTGGCACAGCTCTGGAGCAAAGGTTTGAGCCTGCCCGTGGGAATCAACCCAGCTTTTGGGAAGAGCCTGGGAGCAGGGGGACCGTGGTGGGGACAGAGGGGGGTGTCCACCCTGCAGGGAAGGACAGCACAGGGACATCGGGGGCAGGCAGAACTCCAGCTTTTATAATTGTATAAAAAAAAAAACCCAATTTTCACCAGTTTTCCCCAATAAACCCCCCACCTGTTCACGCAGCCCTTCACCTAAGAACGGTTCATCACCCAAAGCCTTCGCCTTTTCACGAAATGGAGTCAAGCAGAACTGAAACAAGCCGGGCTCTGCTCCCCTCTTCCAAACGTTCACAGCGTTGGGAGCGAAGCCAGGAGACTTTAAGAGGCATTTTAAGAAGCTGCAAGCACAGCTGCTCCCCTGCAACTCACTGCGCCATGTCCCGGGTCTGTCCTGCTCAACAGCAGCTCCCACCCCTCCGCGGGCATCTCTGCTTTTATCTTTGGGTATCGTGGGGTTCGGGGCCCTGTCCTCTTCAAAAAAAAGTCCAACCCGAACCCCAAACATTCTGCAGTCTAAACACTCACTGTCCATACCGTAGGTCAAGTTGTCTCCAGCGTTATCAGTACCTACCTGCTCCTCTAATAAGGTTTGACTGGACATAAAATTTTAACAAAAATGTGAAAACATCTTATATAAAGCAAATTATAGCTCTGCGGCTCAGGGAAACCTGCTTTCCCAGTTGTTTCCCTGATTTAGGCCAAGATTTTTCAGGGCCGAAGTGCAGCTGGAGGAGCAGCTCTCCTTTCCCCAGACTGACCTGACTTTGGCCACTGCAGCGTCCTGAATTCACTCTTCTTCTGGAAGCTCTTGGATCTCACTGGGAGTGAGGTTTTTCCCCGAATGTGTTTGACTTTACCCATCTGCAAAGTGAGATAAGGTCACACCTAAGCTGCTGCGCGTTCCATTTGCCCGTAGTCTGGGTTTTAAAGGCAACGGAGGGATCACCCCCAGGCAAACTCCCTGGAGCCGAGGGGTTTGTGGCACTCCCAGACCAGTTATTTTAGCCTTCAGCAGACTCTTCCTTTCTGCTCCTCAGCTTTCTCGCAGTGGGACTCAGCCAAGCTCTTCAGATAAACAAACCCCCCCCATCGGAGAGGTGCCCGTGTCCCGGCTGCAGTTGGAGCGTTAATCTCAGATACGTGATATCGGGGACCTTTTGAAGTTCCTGCTGCCACCACAAAGCAGTGCTAAAGAAATGACTTCAGAAGGACTGCAAGCACCACGCTGGGCCTAATTGCAACAGGGATGATACACATGTGGGTGTTATTATTATTATTCTAAAAACGCACAATTGGAAAAGCCAATATTTTTAATGGAAGTGGTTTCAAATGCTCGTATTTATTTGCTTATTAAATGGTTTAGTTGGAGACGGAGCATCTTCAAAGGAGAAAATTTTTTCCCAGAATGGGTATCTGGGGCTAGAGTGCTATATTATTATACATGAAAAATATTTCCTTATTAGCTTTTTATTTCAGAGAACGCATTTAACTGACACTTCCCTTGCTGACAGCTTGCCAAGCTTCAAAACCCAACTTCTGCAAAGATTCCAACGATTGGGCAGCTGGTCCAGATGAAGCTGTAGCCCAGCTGACACACGAGCTCTGTGGAAAGAGTTTTTCCCGGTTTTGGAGAGCCTAAAGCCATGGTCCACATCGGGACACACATGCTGTGTGTTTGGGCTGTCTTTGAGAGGGATGTGATGCGCTTCCAAGCTGTGACCACATTTTGGGGACCTGGCTCCTTCTGTAATTTCAGCTGCACCCTACATCAATGCAGATTTCCCAATCCTGCCACAGACCTAAGGGCAGGTGCTGGGAGAGCAGAGGGGCTCAGCAAGAGCTGGGGTTTTAACTCTCAGTCACCCCAAACCAGAAATCAAAGCTCTTCTCCACCTTCCTGGAACTTCTGGAACTTCTGGCTGATCCAGGCTCCCCTAAAGATGCTTCAGGGAGGACTACAGTGGTCAGAACACATCCTTGCAAGGCACACAGCTAAGCAAATCACAGCAACACTGCATTCTCCTTGCATCTTTTCACCCAAGGATGCAGTAATAGAAATGAACCATTAGCTATGAGAAATCTTTTCAAAATTTAAAAAAAAAAAATAAAATAAAAAATCACAATGTCTGCTCTGACACAGAGGATGGAATTCCCATGCTTGTGCTGGTGAAGGCTGACACCTCCTGCCACAATTTGCCCATCAAACAGCATCACTGCCATCACCTGCCCCCTCCACCTGCCCTCCCCAGGGGGCTGCTGGGGACCCGCAAGCCCCTCTCCCCCCTCGGTGCTCCATGGGCCCCACAGCTCACAGACCTGCTGCCAAACCTAACTCTCCCCCCTGCTGACACCTCCATCCTGTTTGTGGTGTCTTTGGCACTTCCCTCCCCAGCACTTCCAGTCCCCCACGGCTCCCCAGCCCCATCAGCTCCAGCGCAGGCGGCGGCTGGGCCAACATTAACACGTGGAGACTCCGGTGTAGCCAAGGCCACCACCAAAGGCAGGAGCCTGGCCAGGGGTAGATCACCGCAGCTCTTCACCAGGACACACAACCACTAAAGCACAAATCCATATGGTCATTTCAAACCCCGGGGTGACGTTGTGTGGACATGAGACCATCCAACACAGCCTGTTACAGTTCACAGCCTCGCTTCAGTAAAGGGATGCTGGAGGGGCGAGAGGCAGGGGACACCTGAAAACATCCCCAGCCTCCTGGCCATGGGCTCCGGGGCTGAGCACCGTCAGCTCCCCCTGCGCAGCCCCTCCTTCGTGCCCTGCTCCCAGGGGCTTGCTGAAAACATGCCTGGTACTACACAATACCCTGTACTTCCTTGGCTCTGGGAATAAACAAGCAAGCAAAGCGAGGTGCCTCGCCTGGAGCGGGGTCACAGCTCCCACAGCTGCAACCCCAGCACAGGGAAACGCCTCTTTGTGCCCCTCTCCCACAGAGACAGCCTGGCCCAGCAGTGCCCACAGCCTTAGGGCATCCTTCACATCCAGAGGGACGCCCCCCACAAGGCAAACCCACAAATTCACGCACCAAACCTCCATCCTGGGAGATGCAGAGCGCTCAGCGCAGGGGCCAACTGCCAGGGGACCAGGGAACCAACACCAAGAAGGCACAGCTGTAAAAGAAAACAAAAGCCCAGAAAACCAGCAACAGACTGGCAGACCTAGCGCAGATTCACGACAGCACCAGGGGACCCCTTTTACCGAGCGAGCTCTAGCGGTTGTTTCACTTTATTTCTCAGACACCCAACCCTAAGCGTCAGGAATGAATAAAGGGAAAGGCTAGAGTTTTGCTTGTTTTTTTTATGCAGCTGCAACATGATCGTTCCCTGGGATCATCTTTCCTCCCGGCAGGCAGGTGAGGTGGAAGCTGTAGTCTCTGGGTACTGGACCGTAACTGGATCCTGCAGACCCAGATCCCAACGCTGCCCTGTAAGCCTCTGCCAGGGAGAAACTGCCACCAACGCAGACCCTGCCGCGGGGAGAACCCCACCGCCATGCAGGTAAGTGCTCTGGCTCCTTGCTCAGCCACAGCAGGGGGGCCAGCACCCCTGTTCCCTCCAGGGCAGCGGGGATAACAACATCTTCCCCTTCAGCTTCTTACCCTGCCAGCTTTCCTTTGGCCATGTCAGGCCAAGCACCAAAGGCTCTCCCTTGAGGATACATAAACATGACACATCCTCATTAGGAGCTCAGGCCTCCACTAGCAAGTTAAAAACAGTCAGAAAAATATTAATAGTGAGTTATTCTTCAGTATTTCCTTGTATGGGTGCACAGAAAGGAGCCTTCTGAGCTACAGTAATGTCCTCAGCTCAGGATCTCCCTGTGCCACAAGCAGTAGGGTTGCTTTGGTCTCTAGGAAGACAGCCTTACACTGGTAATACAAAGAGACCACGGTATAAAAGTTGTGATTGTTTTGCATTAATATATTAGAAAATGAAGGGGTTTTTTTAGTAGCAAGAGAATTCAGTGTCTGGGTCTTCTCTTCCCCAGCTGACACTCTGCAGGCTCCGGACTCACCAGTGGTGCTTCATTCTCTTTAATGTCTTGCTTTTCCACATGCTGCTTTTTGGAGCAGATTTACTGGAGGAATATTTCCTGCGGTCATTACCTCTTTCTTACACCGATGCAAAGACGCTCGAAATCAGGGAGAGGGCCAGGAAGCTAGATACAGATCCTCTAAAGGCCAATCTCTCCCACACTGTCAGCAGCGCAGCAACATGCCCTGATCAAGAGATATTTTTGCTCGTTCTTGTCTGCAGTAGCCCAGAAAACAGAACAAGGCGCAACGTGATCAGGCAGACATGGGGCAACGTGACAGACATCAGAGGTTATGCTGTCCTTACTCTGTTTGCTTTAGGAAAGCCAGCTTCAGTAAGCACCCAGCTGGAGATCGATGAAGAGTCTGAAAAGTACAGAGACATTATTGAAGGCAGCTTCATTGATTCTCCCGAGACGCAGACACAGAAGATGTTGATGAGCCTGGAGTGGACAGTGACTTTCTGTCCCCGTGCAAGGTACATTCTTAAAGCAAAGGAAGACACGTTTGTCGGTATTCCAAGCCTGGCTGGATACTTGCTTAGCTTAACACAGCTAGAGGACATTTACAGCGGGAGGGTTGTTCATCAGGGAGTGCCTGACAGAGACCCCGAAAGCCCCGGCTTTGTTCCCATCCACCAATACTCAGAGGAGTTTTACCCCGATTACTGCGATGGGAGCGCGTTCGTCGTGTCCCAGGATGTCGCTCGCAAGGTGTACGTGGCTGCCAAGGAGGTGCCTGTTTCAGTGCCCCCCGATGTCTTTGTTGGAATCTGTGCTAAAAAAGCTGGCATCAGTCCCATTCACAGCTCTCGATTTTCTGGGGAGAAGCACATCAGCTACAATCGATGCTGCTATAAATTCATTTTCACCTCTTCCAACATGGAGGAGGATGAGTTATTTAAAGACTGGAAGGAGACAAGCGATGGTAAAGATTGCTCATTACTGGAAACTTACTACAGCCTGGTGTCCTGCAAGGTTTTGACCTATATCGATAAGTTCAAACAGTTTAACTTAGATAGAATAAAAAATGAGGTTCTTCATTTTGTTGATTAAGATTTAACTTTTGTGAAGAAAGTCTGAATTTTCTTTTACCAGCCGCTTTATCCTGTTAACATTCAGTAATAACCATCTGTTAGCTCTCTTCCCTCCACCAGCAACTGAATTCTCAGTGTGTTACAGTAGCAAGAGAACTCTAGCTGTGTAAGCACCTACATGCATACAAGGAAAAAATAAAAAGTATTCCAAGAAACTGTATCCAGCTTTAGAAGTCCTCTACCTTATGCCAAAACTCCTTCTGCATTTTTCATCTGTGAGGCATCACCTGCCTACAAAGTATTCGCAAACGAAGGGAAATCTACTGAAAGTCCACAAAAAGGCACAACTTCTGAGCAGCCCGTTTTACAGCACCGGTGAAACCGCACGAGACGTTGACCTGTCACGGGAAGTGCTTAGGTAAACAGCCCGGGGAGAGCTGGGCAAGAAATCCAACTTACCCGATCCAGAATCCTGTACTTCCATCAGTCCTGGCATCTGAGGAACACGGACACAAGCAGCACGCTGCCGTGACAGGACGCCGGAGCGGTGAAGTCACAACAAACTCACCAGCACACCGGCAACACCCGACCTTACCCAAAGTGTAAAAAATCCCCCAAATGAGGAACCAGTCGCAGAACACAACCCCCCCGCTATGCCCACGGCCTCTGGGTGAGTTCTTCCACACCAGCTCTGCCAGCAGGAGGAAGAGGAGCTGGGCCGCTCTGTGACAGCCACAGGTACCTCTGAGGGGCCCTTCTACTCTTCCTGCCGTGACGGGAGGAATTCCAGCTGTGCCCCAAAGGAGCCTCAATTCTTGAAGTACCAAGTTACACTGCTTGTTAATCAAGGTCAAAGGATGAGTTTTGGTTTGGGGTGGCAGGGTTTTTTGGTTGGTTGGGTCCTTTTTTTAAACCAAATTCATCAAGTTTAGCATGTTACCTCAATTCTCATTCCATTTCTGTTTTTTCTTCAATTGTCTCCACCTGTTACTTTAGAGGGGGAGGACAGGGACAACACACTCACATTTTCCCCGTGGTATTTAAGATACACCAGCAGCAACATGTAAGCCATACGGCAACACAGGATGGGTAGAGAACTACATGTGAATAATAAAGGGTAAGCGTTTGATCAATTAATGGGAATGTTGAGCTCAAAGCTCAACAAAATAAAGCATATGTGCATATATTAAAAAAAAAAAAAATCCCCTTGTTTGGCATCTCTGTGTATTCTAAAATATTGCATTTGGCAAACGTACCATGCAAAGCAGATGCTAAAGACTTAGCACACAGAGTAGCCTTCAAAAGCAACAGCTGAAAACACACATGGAAGAGACTCATGAATTGCAGAAAAGGTTTCTATATTGATTTCTTTTACTGAGATTTTAGTATTCGGCTCATACAGAGCCACCAGCACACAAAGCCACCTAAAATAACAAAGCTGAACTGCCCGATACAAGCACAAACTAAGGACTTCTATACTCTTTTTTTTCGTTTCCTTTTTAGCGATTTTATGGGGTTTTTTTCTGGATGCAGGGTTCACAAAGCTTCTCTCCTCTGAAAAATGAGACGCTGTGTACTGCATTTCCACTAGCAGATGTTTATTAGACACACTTAGGATGAAAGCAGCAGCGGCAGTATAATGCAGATGACAACTTTAGTACACATTAGATCGTAAGCAGCAAGGTGGATCACCTGCATTCAGACAGCTCATTAAACATTAAGGGATCTTCCTCAGCTCCCCTGAGCCCGCTCTGACACCTTGCCAGCAATTTCTGGCAGGCAGTATCACCACCTCTGCTGCAGCTCAGAGCTACTACAAGCAAGAAGAGAGTTACTGTGTGACTTGATCGTCCTGCTTCACTTGGCAGAGTGGGGACACAAGGCAAGTACTTTCCATAGATACCCGACACGTTACTAAAATAAGCCCCAAAAGTAGAAATTTCACGTTTTATTATGGTCCCCCAAAGCTGTTCCTCAGATTTGTTTCTTACATCCTCAACAAAAGTAATATAAACCTTTTATATAAATTGGTCTCTGTTTATGGGCAAAGATACATCACCAGGGTGTCCAGCTAGTCTTGCACCTGCAGCTCGCTGACCACCTTCCCAAGAAGATACACAACTTGGCAAGGTGCTACATTTCCATCCTCCCAATCCAGTTCATGCCCTTAAACATGAAAGCTTTATGTTCTTACCCCTTTCATTCTAATTCAGGCAAACTAAAATCATACTTTTTTTTTTTTAAATAACACTTAAAATTAAAAAAATTTATCTGTTAAAAAATAGCATAAACAATTTAAGATTTGGTTCCGAAGTAGACTTGTAGTGCTATAGCTCATGCTCCTTTTGAGCAAGTAAACCGAGCTGCCACACGAAGTTGCAGTCAACACGGGAGACAAAGCTCCCAATATGGTTTTATTCACTGCAGCGTGCATTCATTTGTTTTTAAAAGGGCTAAAAGCGCTTTTTTTTTTCATCCTCAGCATAAAATGTAAACAATATTTAGGATTATTTATTCAAGCAAGACTTACATCCAGCAAGTTGAAAACAGAAGAGAATCCAGTTCGTACTCCCTCATGTGGACAGAATGTTACTAGCTTATTCTTGCCAACAGGGCTTCTGACAATATGACTGACTAAAAGAGTATGTGCCATGCAAATGCCAACTTCAGCAGATATAAAAAAAAATTTTAAAAAGAGAGAGAAACTATGGCAGCATCTGAGGTTACAAACCTCAAGGTGTTTTGGTGTCTGGTTTTTTTGTTGTTTTTTTGTTTTGATTGAACTGTGATCTACTGAGAAAACACAATAGGAACTCCAACCCCAAGAACAGTTTAACTAAACACTGATAATACCTGCAAAATAAGACACAGCCAGCAGTTGACTTGAGTGCTTACCTTGGTTACTTGTCTCACAACAGCACACAGAGAACTTCTGCCATGACATTCTATGAGAAATTACGCTGTGCCCTACAGATTTTGATTTGCTCTCGTGACTCTCATTTCAAATAGATTCAAAAGTGCTTCATGTTCCTTTAGAGACAATCCAAAGAGACTCCCGTGGGGGGAAATCTTTACACCTTTTATCTTTTAACACCTATTTCAATAACATGGTTTGCAAGAAGAGGAACCAGCACAAAGACATTATTCCACTCCTTCCACAGCTGTAGTAGAAACTGCCTTCACATAGTAAGGGCCTTCACGCAGGTAAGCCCTAAGCCTCAAGTAATACTGATTTCCAAAGATTTCCGCGATAGTTTTAGAGTTTACAAGGGCTTTAACCAGTTCGTATTTGGCATCCTTCGAAGCTTTGTCAGGCTCCACAGATCTGTCTACAACGTATTCCACAAACCCTGGACTGTCAAGCATCAACTTCTGGGCCCACGGTTGATTTGCAATAGCCTATAAACATGAAGGCAAGAGAAGGGGGAGGGGAAACACCTCATTTTAAAAACCAAAACAACAGTTACACAGTAGGTTGTCACGCAAACAGTCAAAAGAACAGAAAAAATAGAATGGGATATTCATTCTACACAGTAGTGACAAAATCACCACTCAAATCAAGCAGCAGGGTTTAACACTGGAAAACAAAGCCTGTAAAGCACTGAGCTGTATTAAGTGAAGGGCTTATCTTTAAAGTTTCAAGTGAATTATCACAGCAGTGCCTCTGATACTGAAGCAGCACCCTAGAGCGTGGCTGTTGCTAACCCCCCCCTCCAATTTATAAAAAAAAAAAAAGTATTACAGACATGACACGTCTGCTGCATTATTTAAATGGTGAATGCAATTGGAGGACAATGCAAAAGGCCTTATTTCTCACCGCTTCAGTAAGTTTGTGGCATTCACTTAAAAAAAAAAATAAAAATCTGAGACTGACCAGCAATACAATTCACTGTATTATCTTTCAAAACAAAAAGCACTTACAGTAAATACCCGTAGGGCCCCACAGTGGAGATCTGGGAATGGCTGGGTACTGATGCTCCTGAAGAGCTCCAAGGGTTGGCTAGACAGGGATGTGAACCATGACTCAGTCATTCTTAAAAGGTCTTCTGTCTGCTGCTCGGGCTACACGCATCACGGACAAAAAAAAGAGAGTTTGATTAGGATCACAAAAAGCTTTCAAGTTTTGAGTATCTGTTCAACAGTTAAGGAAGTTACTTAAAACAAACCACCGGCAGATAAAGTTAAAATAGTTTAAATTTTCAACTTATTTTCATGAATGAAGAAATGGCATTCTGTATTGCATTTAGTTTGGAGGACAGATTTAAATAAATCGGTCTTGATACATGAGGTAAGTGCAAAACAAATGAAAACGCCTTACTTGCTCATTTAGAGCTACACTATTAAAACCAGATCACGGGATCGTTTGCCACCATCCCTTTAAAGCACAAGAACATTATTTACTCTCATTCCCTTGCCAATGCTGTCTTGATTTCATGTTTTATAAACAGATTTCAGAACATCTGGATTCCTACAAATAAAATTTAAGCAAATCACTGTTTTGAAATTCCCTGATATAGTGAAGTTAATGAATCGGAATACTAGAAAGCTGCCACTTCTACCTAAGCCAGATGCTTCACGCAATTAGTCAGATGTACAATAATTTCATTCTTGTAGATTTAAAAGGGAAAAGAGACAACAAGCCACGCCACAAACTTACAGGCAAGTAAAGAAGAGATGCAATCGCATCCAAGCATCGAAGTCGTAACTCTGTGGGGGCATTCTTTGCCTGATGCCCAATTCTGTTTAGCAGATTTTGAAATCGACTTCCTTCGAAAATAAAAACAAAAGTGCTTTTAATTAATTGAGGCACACCACTACAGGAACACAGGGTTACCCGTCAGTCACATTATTCTACATTAACTGGTAGAAGGTGTTGTACGTTAAACCTGAGAAAGGCAATTTCCTGATCTACTGTAATAAAAGCAGCGTAAGATTCTCTTTGCTTCACGTGGACCCAAGATAGACAAAGCCAAAGCTTTTAGGTTAATTCTCCACGCTACCCAAACATTTCCAAAAAGGAAGTTATGCGTCACGGATAACTGAGTTATCTTGGGAAGTGTGGACCCTCATACACTTGTAATTAGAAATCTTCAATCCCATCCTACAATTCTCCAACAGCTATCTGACAATACTTAAAAAGCAAAGTTTGAACTAGCAGCCAGAAGTCTAGCTCCTACTTTGGATACTCTGAACGGTTTCATATTAAGAGAAACAATGCAATCTTTACAGAAAGCATCATTACACAATAATTCATTTTCCTAATGCTGGCGAGAAGGTCTTGACATCAGTAGAAACAGAGGAATCTAAAATAACCCAATTACTGATGATTCATATCATGCAGCTCACTAGAAAAGAATAAATTGAATCTCACTTGTGGTATCAGTATTCTAGCTGCCAGGCATTTCACACTGCCACGGCCAGCAAGAGAGTTAAAAACCACCTTATCTGCACCAGCACAGCTATTCAGACACCCTTGATTATTATTAGATAAATACACTGTCCAATTCCTCTATTACACCAAACCAATTCACTCTTGTATAGTAGGACATACTGAGAAAGTTTGATTAAAAAAAAAAAGATACTGACTCGTTTTCTGTAAAACCTGTTTGCCTTCCACATTTGATCCCAGGATTCCCAGCGTGTCCACAGCCACTCCAATCATGGTCGGATCGTGACTTTCTGCCATCTCAAAGACTTTTTCCATGAAGACAGGATAACGTTCGCAGATCTGCTGTGGACTGTCTACAACAGCCAGATTTCCAAAAAATTTAACAAAACCTGAGAGAACAAGATTAAAAAAAAAAAAAAAAAAAAAGAACAATAACTTTAAAAAACGTCAAAATTAAACATACATCTCAAAATTAAACATACATCTATGTAAGATTGTTTCACTGCTAAACTAGTGTTATCAAGACTGAATATTATCTGTGAAAGGAATCAGAATAAAGACAAAACTAAGGAACAAGGCACTGTTTTGGAAGTTACTTCATTTATGATCTAAGCTGCCTTCTTGAGTTCATAAAGCAAAAAAAGGCTACACTAACCCAAACTTCAAACATATAATACAGCCTCTCCAGATCCTACCTGCACTACTACTGTTAATATTATTCACGTGTTAGGCTGTCCTTCAGCATTTTTTGTATACATTCAACATACACATTCTAATATACAAAAATTCACGTGCGTTTTCAAAACAGAGGCTGAACAGTCCTCTCCATTTAACTCACTCACTAATAAAAGCAAGCTGTGAACACTGGAAACAAGAAATGCATGATATAACCTGGTAAATAGAAGCCTGAGAAAGGATCAGACTCTGCACCAACGATGATGTTTGAAATTTTATCGATGATTCCTTGCTGGGCAAGATACTGACGCCCATGTGGAGTATGGGCCAGGGTTGTCACCATCTCTATACACGCAGCTCTGTAACAGACAAACAGTTATTTGGGCCTATTTCAGATGGGATTTTTGAAGTATTCAGTGATTAAGAAAAAAAACAGGTTTTCTACCCTTAAGACAAAATCCAAACAAAGAAACCCAAATACCAAACTACCCCAACTGTCCAACACTCCTCCAAGTTTACTCAGCTGTCTTCGTCCAGGTGCACTGTCGAAAGAATTCTAAAGTGGTTTTGTTGCAACCCAGCATTCCAATTATCACAGCATATTGGGGAAAATTCACCTTGGTTCTCAAATTTAAGTACACAGGGTTTTACACTCAAGGCTGTTTAAGAAGCAGCAGGTAGTGTTTTCCCAAAAAGAGTTTAAGGAGAAACTTGCACAAATGTGTTTAAAGAGTGTTATTTTAAGACTGAACATCAGAGTTTCAGCAACAGGGGAAATCTCATCGGCAAACTCACTACCAACATACCTGACCAGCACATCATCTCCTGTCAGCTCTCCAATTAACTCTGATATTAGTCCACTGTTTGCACAGTAATTTAGCGAATCTGCTGACACTGAAGAAATCTCAACAATTAACTAAATAAAAGCACAAGAAAGAAAAGGCTGGTTTATAAAAACATTATAATGATAACAATTCACAGTAACAGCCAAATACATCTTACAACGCTGACTAACCCTATATATACTAAATATAAAATTTCATTATGTTTTCATAATGAACCTAAATGTTTGCCTAAAACAAGTTCCTAAGGAGTTCCAAGTTTACAGCACATGCATTTGATTTCTATTCACAGTTTCCCATTAAGTTTTACAATGGCTAAACTGCGTTTTTCTCCTATCTAAGCTGACACATTTGGCATCTCTCTCTTGGTCTCTTCCCCCCCATACAAAAGTTTCAACAGCACTTCCCATCCAAAGGTTAAGAGACTACAGCAGCTATTTTACTTTCAGAGAAGCAAACATTTTATTGTATCTTTGGTAACTCTGTGTAGCCCTTCCAATTCCCTAGGCACAAGTTAGAAAAATAAGAGGTAAACAGTAATACACACTTTTGTACCATAAACTATGGGAAGTTATGATATTATTTGAGGGCCAACACTGCTGTACTCTTCCTATTCCTTTGTAGTCTTAACAAAACATAGACATGAAGAAAAGGTTGTATAGCAGTAATGGGTACTAATTTAAAAGCCAACCATAAAATCCGGATTGTAAATCAGAACTACAGTCCCAGAGAACTGCAGCATCATGTCATTCAAACGCAACCGTTGATCCCATCCCTACCTCATATACTCTGTATCGAACGATATCATTTGTTGCCATGACATTTTTCAAGTCACTCAACAAACTGCTCACAAATAAAGCCTCTAAGCCATCTTGTGTCTGTGCTATTCTTGAGAGAGATTTGATGGCCTAGAAAGAAAAGAATAAGTTATTACAAGTAAAACACAAAAAGAAGAAAATCCAAGACGATCTGAGTTAATTTTACTGTTCTTTACTATCATATTAAATCAAGTTACACATCTAAAATTTCAGCTGTCATTCACTTTTCAATGAGCATTACTGTATTGTTGACAAAAGCTAGTTATGGTTACTGTGATCCAAGTCTCTGACATTAAATTCAGATCTACAAATTCACTTTGGCATTAACAGCTACTGGGAGACAACAGCTATCTGTTGCAATGTAAGTAACATAAGTTCCCTTTTCTTCAAAGAAGAGGGGAGGCTGTCATCTCAGACACAAAAGAAAAGGTGTTTTGTGCAGTGTCTGTGCCCATTCCTAGAGGAAAGGAAAAAAAAAAAAAAAAAGCAATGCTTACCTCTTTAGCCACTGCGATTTTCTCTCCACCAATGCAATTTATTATTTGCCGTAATAGTTCAGGACTGTTGATAATTTCTGTAACAGCATCTGAATTTTCAACAATCCTCCCAACCTAAAGACATGACCAAATAATTGTGGAAGATAATATTAACTGAACTTTTTCCACTATAAGGACATTCAGGCACTGGAACAGCCATCCAGACAGAATCAACTTTTTTGGAGATACTCAAAAATCAGCTGGACAATACCCTGCACAGCCTGCTGCAAGCTGTCCTGCTTTTAGCTGCGGGCTGAATGTGAAACCTCTCAAGTCCATTCCAAACTAGATTGTTTCACGATTCTATTTAAATTAATGCAACAAGTGTCAAGTTACTCCAGCCTAGTCCTCTTCACTGTTTTCACAATGTTAAAAGTACCCTGAATATCAAAATGTTGCTGCACTTAATTCCTATGCCACCTGCTGCCAGCAAGTTATTTCTGTCAAGACATAGTTTTATTCGCTACATTTAACAGACACATCATAAAGCATTATATACTAACACATTGCACAATATTTATCCAAAATTGCATGAGTGGTTAAGAGCACAACTTCTGCTGAAAACACTGAGTGTAGCGCTTCTGTCACAAATTAGGACATGAAACAACAGTAGTAGATTAGAACTAACTCAGCCTGGCTCCAGACGGAGCCCTGTCCCCTCCTCCTGGAGGAAAACGCCGTACCTGAGATATGGTGAGGATTTTCACGGAGTCGTCGGGGTGAAAAAGCCCCTTCTGAAGCTCTTCTCTGAGGTTCTGGATGATATAGACCGGGTCCAGGGCCTGCAGGAGCCTCTCCAGGACGGAAACACAGGCGGAGACCTGCTCCCTGGGCGGGACAGAGAGAAAACCGAGCCTGTCAGGAGGGGAACGCTGCCGGGGGCTCCCGGATCCGCAGCTGCGCCAGCCCCCGCCCTGAAGGAGGGCGGGAAAGGAGACGGCGTAGCAGCAGGAGCGGCCCCGCTCTGGGAGTG